CAGGAAAATTACTATGCTCAAGAATCGAAAAGCCCACCTCTAGCTTTAAGAAAAGAAGCATGAGAGCAACCAGCGCCAGAATCAGAGTAACCTTGGTAAAAGAAATGATCGCAGACCGCAGGGGCGGGAGGAGCTAGGAAGTCAAGATATGGAACAACATTGGACATAATCAAGTGCAACTCCGAAGACCACGTCATGGGTGGACTTCGCAAAGCGAGGATCATCAGCGACATCGGGAAAGGATACTTATTACTCCAATAGCTCACATACAGTGGAACACAATACGCAACGTTGGATTTTGTGGGTCATTTTTGAACTACAGGTTGTGTGGATGGATTTCGACACGCAATCTCATTATTGATCGTGATTAACCGTTGTGTCAAGCGTTGCCGGTCGTGACTCCGTGGCTTAGGGATAGCGGTCACAGCTAACATCCCAGTGGTTCCGTGTTTGATGCCTACTATCTCTATCTGATGAAAAGAAATAACCTCGAAACACGTCATAGACGTGCAGTCTTTTCGGGTCGGCAACATCCGATTTCTATGTACGGAACTTATTGCAACACCGTATCAAATGACGAAAAAGGGAAAGATGTGATGGTGACTCTGACTGGTTGCGAATGGAATGATTGTGGTACCGACGGACCGGAATCCTATCAGACGTCACCGACTAGAGATAAACACGCACGATATCTGTCCCAGCGTAAGGAAGGGGAAGCGTACCCTCGGAAATCTGAGAAGCGGATTTCGCTAAACAGCTAGCAGATAGCATGCACCTGAGCCCAGGTCTGCCGTAACAGCTGGCCGAGTGTAAAAGCATCGACCAAATGGACGAATGACCTGTCAGAGCCGATCGTGCTGTCCATCCGGAGTCGCAGCACCGAGGCTGGATGTAACTCCAGACATGGTAGGCATGGATTGGCCCATCTGGAGCGCGAGCACGAACCGTTGGGATGGAGCCAACGTCACTGGTCAGTTCACAAGAGCCACTCAATGAAGGACTACAGCAGAATAGTGTATGTACTCTATATGACCGCAGATCTACTTTACATTGATTTTTGGTCGCTGCCCAGACTTTTTTCTTGATTCCCGGACGGCTACATGACACACGGAACCACATGAATTTCTCCAGTCCTCTTCAAATTCGAAGGACTCGCTGTTGTGTGTGATTTACGTTATTTAATAGTGAAGCTACGGGAGCAGGAAACTGTCCCGTATGCGACACTCATCCACGTATCGGCCTGATTTACATCGCCTCTAAGCTACTTGGATATCTCGTCGTTCCCAGGTTGACCAGTTCCACGAAAAAATAAGATTCCCTCCTTCATCGAAATTAAGGCTGCATTGGCCACGTCTTCAGTAGACGTTAGTTGTTGGAACAATGCCGGTTATATTGACGACCCACCGGATATCAAGCATGCCTTCGATTCGCTGGGTCGTTTTTCCCTTCGGGATTGTCGGCTTAGAGACATTGTGACCGAGAAATACGCATATTTTTCTTAGGCATTCATCCCGATAGTTCACGAGCTACATAGCACAGCCTAGTCCGGAAAAGCACCAGACGCGTTTCACCTTATTGGGGCTCGTCCGTGGTGCGCATTCCCTCGGTCTTCTAATGAGGATCGAATCCACGACCGCAAATCCTCTACAAAATGAGTCTGAGAAGTTCGGTGAATTGTCTTAGAAAATACAAGAAACAAGAGTTACAATCAAAATGCCTTTGTTGACCCTCAAAATAATCCCCCTTATCTACAACACACTTCTGGCATCGGTTGTTATGCTGTTGGAATCGCTCGAAGCACCGTGGTCACGCGTTGTTAGATATCCGCAGTGTCTGTGAAGCGTAAACTTTTCAGGGCTAATTTAAGTCGGGGAAACAAAGTCTGCCGGCGCCAAATCTGAAGCATAAGGAGGGTGTTGAAGAACAATCGCCTCATATTGGGTTTGAAACTTGATCACTGCAGATTCCGGTCAGACATATTAATGAAATCTCCAGACATTTCCATCCGAGCTTGCTTCAACTCGTATGTCAACGTTTGCGGTGCAATATGGGCACAAATTTTCCACCGTTTTTACTGTTCCTAATCAAACTGATTACTCTGTCTTTGGTGGACTTAGTGTTCGCTGAGCTCGGCAGGTTGACTGCAAACGTTTCGTCACCACTCGAGGTGACCGGTTGCTTCAGTTTTCAACCACACGGTTTCTCACACTGACTCCGTTAGCTTGCTTGCAGCTCGAAACACTGCTTCACTTCGGTGATTTGCACGATAGTAGGCTTGTCGATATGTCTCGCACTACGTATGCGCGTGCTCTTCGTTCTGACCAGCGCAATTTTTAACTTATCGTACCATTCATTCAAATTTTCAGACGCACCTTGTAATAACGCTTTACTCATGTAGCCCAGAGTGAGGGCCCTTGGCAACCTGTCGCCTTCCCCAATATCCCCAGCGATGTGAGACATGTTTGCCATCTGTCACCTATCCTTTTTAACTCCAATATCGACGAAACCATGCAGACTATCTTCACCGTACACGAATTGAGAGATGTAAAGTTACTCCCAGGCGATCGACTTCCTGACTTGGAGTATGCCAACAATATTGTTCTTACAGAGGTACCATTGCGGTAGTGGGCAAATTATCACTGGTTATCAGCCGTTTCGAGCTGTGCTTTAAATCGTCCAGGATTGACCGCGACAATCTCTTGTGCTGACCTTTGGTGATGATCAGCTAGGAATCGTTCATAAATTCAACTATCTGGGCAGCTGTATCAGCGAAAAATGAAGGGTACACATCGGCTACCATCTAACTGACTGGTATCCCACTACTAGTGGCTTACCTCGAGACACTGTGCTAGGGCCCACTCTGTTCCTAATCCACATCAACGATCTGCCTCAGCTTGATCGGCCGCCGTATGTCTTGTTTGCAGACGACCCGAAAATTTTGGAAATGATTAACACGCTCGATAACTGCGGCCTACTTCGGCAATATCTCAACCGCTTCTTCATGTGGTCTGCAGAACTCCTCCCTCTATTCTACCTAAGCAACTCCGTCTTCATGAGGTTGGGAATATTGGTGAAGGCTGAACTTAATCGCTCGAGGGCCAGCCGCCACATCCCACGCCTTATGAATGATCTGAGTGTAGTCTCGTATTGCGATTTAAACCCGTAGACAACACGAACGGGCTTTGTCGTAACGGACTGCGCATGCTTTGGACGATCAAACGACTTCTGTGCTTGGTCTAAAGAGGTTGCCACTCGTCTGTTCTTTTCCATTATAAGAACAATATTGGAGTCGGCTCGCCCACCTACTGTCTGATCACCCGGGGCGAGGCACGGAAGGTCGAGGAGGTCCAACACGTCTCTACTAGGCCCACTCCTGGTTTACGAAGATTACCGTACGAAGATCTACTACAAGAAACTAGGATTCTACACCTTGTCCTGTCGTTGGTTACGAGTGGATCTCATCGTGACTTACAGCATAATAAGTCTGTTGAGGCCACTGTTTTACTTGAGAGCGCCATGCTCCACACGCAGACAATGGTACAGTCTTGTGGGGCCGGATATGAGGCGACTTCCCCACCCTCTGTGCTTCGCGCGGAGAGTTGTAGATGTTTCGAATAGTTAGCCAGAACAAGTCACGGAGACCAAATCTGCGCAGCAGTTCAACACTTTGTGTTGCGTTTACATTTCATCACCATTCTATTCAGAGAACGGTTGCACACTGACAATAACAGCTCACATTTATGGGCCCCGTGATCCTGTAAATTGAACATTATTAAATATTGCATAAGAAATTGAAGCACGATTAGAATATCAACAGGTGATGGATGCTTTCATAACATTTTTGTTCGCATTCCGATGGAGTTGTACAGATTTGGTTATCTACTTGCTCCCACAATGCAGTATTCGGCTTGGCTGCCTTGTTGTCCAGCCAGGCTTCTTCGGCTGTCTGCTTTCTTGTTACAATGAATCGAATAATCATGTTGGGCTAGTCGATGAGACGGATCTGATTAAAGGTCACTTAACCCAAAAATCATCTTTGTTCTGTGAAATAGAGTGCTCACCACCCGTTTATGAGACTTGTTGTCTAAAAAGTAGGCGTCATTCTCTGTCTGCATTATCGTTGCATATTGCTTCTCTAGTTCGTGGATCAACTGTTCTTGATGTATATGTTCGGATACGGCTACCACCGCTCGTAATGCAAGAAAGGTCGTTCCTGTTTTTCCTTCTAATTAGCCTGTTAGCTCCCAAATTAATGATGAGATTTTGTTTTCCTTGTAAAAATCGTGGAAGAGAAAAAGTAGTAGGCTTATTTGTGTGTGTGTGTGTGTGTGTGTGTGTGTGTGTGTGTAGGTTGTTACAATCTGTCCTCTTAATATGACACTGAAATTACCTCTGATAAAAGAATCTATGTGCTTAGATGTCCCGTAAAGAGGATACTGGTAGCTAACGGGTTACTTGTGCGGCTGCATCACGCTTTTGCACTGCACGATATACAGATAATCTGCGCTAGTGCATCGCGTGGCATACTCAGTGAATCATTTGTCACACGCTTTTTATTACTGGTACTTCACTGTTCGAGCGAAAACCTTCACGTGGTCTGCGTGCAAAAAAGTGTATATTTGCGAGAAGATAGTATGAATTCAGTCTGTTCGATATTTGGTGAGTACAGTTTTGTCGAAAGTACGCTCCATGGGCAGTTTGTCCAGCAAATGTCGGTTTTTTGATCTGGAGAGCGTACGCTCCCACCCTCGGGCTTACTCGTTTGCAAACAACCATCGTTACCACCTTTGTGAGGTTGGGAAATACCATCCGTATTAACATTTACGTACATCTCTATCGATACGCTGTCACTTGGTACTAACACTTCAGTGCAATATAACTGAAACCAATCGTTTGCGGTTGGGATCCTAGAGATCAGTGTCTCAATTATCTTTAATACGATGCTCTATCTTCACATTGACCTAGTTCATTCGACGAAATGCCTTTTTTCATTGTCTCAGCTTCAGCGAGCATTTCATGGATCGCCGCAGTCATTATCGCCATCCTCATCATCCTGGTCGTTGGAGCCCTGACCGCTTGTCTTGTAATGCGGAATCGTGGTGAAACATATTTACGTAGGTGGTTGACTTTATATTGCATGTTAACCTTTGGTATTATGTTATTAGCCTGCGTCACATTTCACTGTAGTTGGTACGACAGTATTTCATGTATTTGTTGAATCGCTCTGCAACTGTTAAACTGACGCTGTCCATGTCTGGCGATCTTTCACCACTCGATATCTGGATACTCTAAATGAAGAAGGGAACCATGTTGGTGCTTATTCTGCATTTCTGCGGTTTTCGATCGTTTATCTGCAACCACAACTTCTCGATTCTGTGCGATTAATTCAGGCAAATCTGTTGCTTTTCTCGTCCGCAATTCTTGCACCGAGGATGTGACCTCGACTGGTGATGAAACATTCACAACCGATTCCGATAACACCTGCGGTATTGTCTACTGTTTGGTATCTGTCATCTTTGTCGGAGAGTTACAGAAACATCCACCTCGATGACTAGCTTAGTTGCGAAGTTAATTGCTCTTTTGCATTTTGCGTCATACACCCATGGCTCAATGAGTAAAGTTGCTACACTGTAGGAACCCGTCATTTTCGAGTCCTGTAGAATTCGGCAAGTTACGCGTTACCGTCATTTTCCAGCAAAAACGTTTTTATAACAATTAGTTCCTCTCAGCAACTTGGAAATTACAGTAAGGGAACAAATATCAGCAAACGCATGCATTTTGTACTGTCTGTTCTGTGCTAAAAACAGTAACTTAGTTACATACAGCGGTTAGATTGTGTAAACAACATGCAAACAAACGATAAGGAAAACAACGATAGTTCTGCCATCACTTCCAGAGCAATCTGACGTTGACCGACAGTTGCTTTTGCTACGAGAGCCTCCGCGATTCAGAGTAGCCGTGCATTGGTGTGACGCGGTAAATTTTGGATGCCGTGCTGACCTTGATCAGGTGATCTAAAATCAATAAGTGCCTGGCGATCGACGATGCCGGGGGCTTTCGTTGACGTGCCGTCTGTGTTTGACTGTTTTGCGCGCTGTCGCAATGAACCCACTTGGTACACCCAGTGAGAGTTGGCCCCAATAGGCAGAGTTTCCTTCAATGGAGCTGGCGACAGCTCTGCCAATGTTAGCAACTTCGGCAGCACTGAATGTGCGCAGAGACTAGACACCTACTGTTCATCAGTGTAGCTATGCTACCTTTAAAAGGCCGTTCTAAAAATATCCTCATCTTTGGTACGGTTGACACCGCGTTTATCGTTCCATTGAGTTGGTTGTGCTTTTCGGTGAATCTCCGAGAGTAACCGTTTGCAATTAGTGTGTTATTAATCAGTCCTGGTTCATCGGCGAGAAAATCGGTCGAGCGTATTTGTCCAACGTATTTATTCTCAAAAACTTTCAGAAGCACATGTGGATGCAATCGGGCAATGCTTTTGTGGTCCATTTATGGGTACTGAAGTTATACTGGCCCATTTTCAAATGTCCGGGATCACATCCATAGTGTGCCGTTTGTTAAGTGGATCTGTTGTGGGTATTTTTGATTTTAATCTTTTGAATTCGTTGTGAACGTTGCTATGATCGAGAGACGCAACTGGATTTGGGCTAATGAAGGAGAAGGCGAGGGAAGGCTTTTGGTGGAGTGGAACTAAGAGTTTTGTCTGTCCATATCCACCTCACCGCTCTGACTGCAGGCGCTCTTACCACAAAACTGTTTTAAAAACCTCCATGGATCACGACAGCTGTGATTGCCCAGTACCACTTCGACGTATAAGTAATTTAGCCACTTTATCTCAGCTTTGATTAATGAGGTTACGCTCTTGACACCAGTAAACACCTTGCACTTGTAAGCCCATTCTTTCATCTTTCGAAGTCGCCTTAGCAGTGACAGTGAAGATCTATCCGCCCCTACGTAGATCGTTTCAACAGGGCTATACATGTCAAAGCAATGTTTGAGGTAGTGCGTAAGATGGTCACATTGAAGCCACAAGCCCTCTTCTTTGAGGACCATAAAATCAGTAAAAGAAAACATCATCTAGAGCCTTGTGACACTCTCAACGGATTGATTTCGCCCTTTGATAGTTCTGTGAAGGCGATTAGTCAGTGTGAAAAATCAGATCAACTGAATATGATTGGACACAGTGTTAGATTACCATCGTCTGAACTGGTCAAATGAGCCCGTTTTTATGAAAACAACTGCCGTTTGTTTTTGTATAAAGCGTCCAATTGGGTATTCTGTCTGGTCGCAAAGGTAACTACGTTTACCAAGACAAATATCCTCAGGAATTATTAGAACACAAGGTTGAGAAGAGCACTCTTTTCGATAAATCTCATCAGGCGTTTACAATTGCAAACTGGAAAGTTGGAACAGGATAGGCTGGTGAAGCGCGGAATCAGAACGAGGCAGAAATTGGCCTGTCTTAATCGGTAAATTGGTCGAACTACTCAGGAGCGGTGTAGACTTTTCCATCGATGACCGATTCAAAGCCCGTTAAGACTTCAGTTTGCATTTCACCTAAATGACAGCTTATAAAACTCTTTGTATGTGAATATTGCGTTTGCTTACTTGCACCAACCTCGATTGACGGGAATTACAACGCTACCACCACGAAACGGACTTTCCAGCACGATCAGGCCTGGTGCGAAAATAACCAGCGAGTTGAATAACCCCGTTTTCCACATCAGTATGCAACTAACTTACTTGTAACATTATGATTCCTCTACTTGAATACTCATTTCGCTGCATAATGGCATTGAGGTCACCGATTTTACGAGGGATCGATCGTACATTCTGACACGTATCAGTTGGACTTGCGGTTTGTCAACAACAACGACGGAGGCGAGATTGCCAACCAGTATCAAACTTCGCCTTTTCCAAGTTATTTCTCCATAGTTTGTTTTATGGTGTTCCCAACTTGGTGATTTTATTCGCTGAAGCAGAGTTGTAAGACAGTCACCTGTAATATTGTCAAAAAATTCATGGAGCAGGACATGATTGGCATTGATACTCGTACAGAAAGACAAATTGTTGGAAAGATACAAATAAAATATCTAATCCGCAATCGGTAGTGCAAAATATCATTCCAACGAGAACAATAACGCACGAATTTGGAGGCTCCGCCACCAGCAATTGCTGGCATCCATGGATCCTGTAGGTGCAGCTCTCTGTCAAACATTTCTGAAGCCTGCACTGCGGATGTGGAAAAACTGAACGCAGTCCACTTTCTCAATATCTGATTTTCCCACAACTGTACGATACAGAACTGATCCTCCCACTGTGCAGGCTATCCGTCTTCCAGCACCGGTGTCTGCGGTCCATTGCCCGTGTGTGGTGGCGGCACCACGTAAGCAATGTGGGAGTTAGACAGCGTGCCTTGGGACGAGAAAGCCACTCACTCGAGGAGCTTGTCTCATTGCATCAACTGTGGTGGCTGGGACACGTATTGCGCACGCCTGTTCAGCGTTACCCGTGTCATGCGTTGTTTGCGATTGCTGAACAGGGCTGGAAGAGACGGTCTGGTGGACAGCCTGCAACGGTGAAGCCACATGAAAAGCTGACGAAACAGCTGGCCTCGGCCGGTTGTTGTCGACTACCTGGTTGAGGTCCGAGAGATGCGGATACTTGCTGGTTGTAGACCTTGGAACGGATGGCTCAAGATCGATGTCAGTGGCGGACGTGGGCTTCGGTGTGCTGCGGTGTCCCTCCTTCCTCCCCGTAAAAAAAGAAACCGCAAATATTCAAAAACTGTGAATAGCAAACTGGACAAGAAAAGGCTTTTGTTTTTATTTTCTTATTATTCATACTGTTTTCCTATATATATATATATATATATATATATATATATATATATATATATATATATATATATATATATAATGTGGCAGCATCCCGTTTCGGATTTGCCTGTCGCTGTGGCCACCCACAGAACGCCCACATCTACATAGGGACCATGGGTGGCTTGTGCTGCACCGCCCACAGCTCCATCCACACACCCGATATCCAGTGGAAACCCGAAGGAATAAGACCGGACGGCATGCGGATGGGAGCCAGGTTTCATCAACGGAGCCGACCCACACTCCTTCATAGGCAAACACAAGCACGCTGTATTTGGGGAATCAAGCGCACACAAGGCGGTGGCTGGACCGTAGTCCGCTCCACACTGACTGCATGGAACCACTCTTCGAGCCTAGCACGGTCACAAGGACCGTGCACCCCGTCCCCTCCAGCAACGACCAACTGTCTCTTGTAGCCAGTATGGACGAGGTAGTGGGTGATAGACAGGTACACACCTTATCAACATGCACATCATTGCTGCCACATCGAAGATGTCAAACAACAGCCAATCACTTGAGATGGCGGTAACAAAGAAATTATATCTGTTAAAGAATACGGCTATGCAGACATAACTCTTCCCTAAATTAGCATGTGAAGTAATATGGTTAGCAACGAATCCGCGATAAGTACAAATTGTCCACAAATTACACAAAAAATACTACAAACGCAATAAAGTTAACGAACATAATCACAATTAGCGTAAGCAGCGTGGTCAGTTAATAGAAGATTATTTAGATGGGCAGAACAAACCAACTAAAGTGGAATTAAATTTATCTACCTTAAATAGACCTAGTTTAAGTGTGAGTTGGTTTAACCCGACTGCGGTGGGGAAGCATCATGAATGAAGCATCATCAGTGTTTACAGGTAGTTCACAAGACCGAAGCCAAACAAGGCAAGTGGCCCTGATGTTCTGTCATCAGTCGCTGTGAGATAGTGTGCAGATGCATTAGTCACCTCTGAGTTTTTTAACTGATATTTGACTTTTAGTGCCATCGCTAACATCTGAAAAACAGACAGGATAACACCAGTGTCAGAGAAGTTATCACAGAATTGCCGGTCGTTAGCGTACACATCCGTACTGTTGGTGCTTGGAATACTGCTTATTCCCCTGACTTCCACAAGCGATCATGCAGATGATATCAAGCAGTGTACCTACAAATCTGGGCGCTGTACACTGGATGCCATTCGTACCTTGTGCATTCCATTATACCTGCGTTGGATAAAATGGCAAGATCGTATCGGCTCATGCATATCTCCCCTTACCGTCCAGTCTAAATACTCGGACGACGTCATTCTAGGGTGTATAGCTCCGAGAATGGAGGAATCTTCGAAACTCCAACAAAGATAGACGCACTCTTAGCTTACTCAAGTTCCTGATCTCTCTTACTTAATTCTTTTGAGTGTTTCAAGTTAGCGTTCTCTTTTCTCTCTCGACTGACCTCATTTCTTCATAAATGCGTCTATTTTGATCATGAGTGGCCAAAGCTTCCATCGACTGTGTGTCGTTACGTATCTCGGTGTTTTCTTGTCCGATAACTTATTCTAGTTTACACATATTTTTGAAATTTTTCCATGAGTCTGCAGACTATCAGCTTACGCTCTCATTCCCAAAATGCTCCATGTGCCACGTGATCCAATTCTGAGGTCCGTAACTCCATGTAAGCTCCTTTTTCTATTTCCCTTGACATTCTCAAAATATCACGTGCTTTTACGCCCATTATGATTTTGTTCCCCATTTTATGGATTAAGGAAAGGTATCGCTCATTGTTTTTATCATTAGCAAGCGTTTTGACTCATGCTCTAACTTTTCTCCCAGGATTCTAAACGTTCCCGCCACCCATTCTAGCCAGTTAGGGGTCTGTTTTCTCCGTGCATTGGAAATGTACAGTCATATTTTCCCCTACCTCGTCTGATCGCAACTCCATTTTGCCGTAGCTGTCGCGCTTATTGGTCGGCTAAAAGGCATTGATGTAAGGTTGCGAGACCGTTTGTCTGAGCGAAACTGCACTTTTTGCTCTCCTTGTTTCTTTCTTTTTTCACTGCCTCTATGTCGTATTCCATTCGCAGTGTAAATTGCTGGAAAGGCCTCCCATGGATGCATAAGGCTAACTTTGACTTGGCATTCACGTAACAATTTTCGGACTTCGTACCACCTTTGTACTGATATACCATCATCGAATGTTAGAGGTTGTGATGTAACGCACAGATGTAAGTTATGCGTTTCACCACTCGACGTCGTAACATGATAGGACAAGTAATTTTTATCTCCAAATTTGATGACGTCTTTCTTTTGTTTCCCCTTAATCCTCCACTATGAACTGCTGTCCGCAGGTTTTCTCCTTCTCTTCAATCCCATTACACATTTTACTCATCATATTGTCTTGTGAGTACATCAGAATTTTCACCACCACTTCTGATGTCTATTTTGCTTCATCCCATCTCTCTTTAGTGGATAAAGAAGAGCGGGCTCTGGGTAACGACCCTGAGAAAGAGCTACGGGAAAATGAAGCATTCCGGACATATGAACGAGCGTGAGTGTGACTCCTTTTTGCTGCATTCTACTAATCATGTTATCGGACTGCTAATTTTATATATTTTCTCTCGACGCTGTCCTTTTTCTAAGGTTGCTATTTATTGTCATTCTGGTAACATACATCTTGATGACTCGATCCACCGCACTTCGGTGCCCTAATCACAGTTGTTGAACTGCACTAAACTGCTCATCCGTTGCCCATAATCTCATTCATTATTCGACCTTGTGCTTAATAACCAAACCATAAACACAGTGGGTTCTGTTAGTGTTAACAAGGTACGCTTTCTCGAGCGCAGACTAAGGAAGCTCCCAATCCATAGTCAGATGCATTTATCTGCTCCAAAGGTCATGCTAAGCTGAGGCCAAATGGTGAAAACCAATTAATGCCTAGGAGTCAAATAAAGACTGTACCTTTTCTCGGTCGATTACATGCACTGCGTTCTCAAATCCCCTCTTAAGGAAATCATGTTCCTCCATAGGTCTCTCAAGATGGTCCTTATTGCCATAAAATTCCATCCAACTGGCGCAAATACTCCTGAATGCGTACTGTTCATTGGGTGGTCAGTCTCAAATCAGCCCCTAGCATCCCATTCTGTGTACTTGTCTGATGCACAAGGCTGACGCATGGTGAATCCGGCTGCTGCTGAGGCAGCTTGGTTCACATGAACACATGTGATACTCAAATGACATTCTGCCAAAGATCGCCAGTGATCTGACTTTTGACGAAACTCTCCTCCAGCTATTAGCAATTTCAGTCAGCGTTCCTGTCTAACACTCGCTGCCATTGTATGAAACTAGCTAGACAGGATGGCGAAGATTCCATAACCTACGCTGGTAGAGGCAGTCTGGAGGCAGAACAGATCAAGATGCCTACCATGACTGATCAGTTCAAGTGCCTGATTTTAGATTTCGGGGCTTCTTGTCGCACTCCAACAGTGACATCAGGGCTGGGTTACTCAGCGAAATTACGCTGGCAAGGCAGAATTGCATTTCGTATGGTTCTGCCGCCTCACAGATGCTCAGTGTGCAATCTACGCTGCCTCAAAAGAAGTCATTGTCAAACAACGAAACTTTTCAGGACTCCTCGCCAAAGACACCGATCTACCAGTTGATCACGTAGGACCGAACCCAAATTCAATGCCGTGCTTGCTGCCAATGACCTTGATTTTATGCACCACCGCAAATATGTAGCTGCAACAATAAACGGAGGGTCGATATCGCGTCCGCGTCCGATCTAATGATGCAGTCCAGAAGTATGTGGAAGGAACTGGGTTCACCAGTTTATGGTCAGATTAATAAGGCTGCCAAAAAGCTTCCGGCGGTAAAAATCAATTGCTTGGGAAATTACACAGTTAGTTATAAATTTCAGGTATGCACGATCACGGTAATGTGTACATAGTTGCTTGTGAACTCTACCTCCTTGGTATTGGCTAGATCGATTGTTTGAAATCTTCCCACATGTCGATCAGCAAATCCTACTCATGAATAGCGACCCGGATTATGAGAATGTTGAATCTGCCGGTGACATGCCCTGTTGAAATCTAGGAGGGGTGAACGGCAGCGAAAATACGAAATACATTCCTCCCGAACTACAGAACTATTGCATATTCTCCAATTTCGAACAGCTGTTTCCCACCTAAGCTCTGATGAACAATCAGTTACCATGGGTACGACGTTATCCGACCGGTCTTGAGCCAACACTCGATTGTGACTGAGAAAATGTATACTGAAATCCGAAGCGTGTTCTCTTCAGCTGCTACCGCTGTGACCATAAACTTAGAGTTGATCTTTCCTAGTATTCGCATTGCTAAGGCATACTGAGGTCCGAACGGCTCCCAACCTAGTGCCAACGACAGACATTACACCTGTGAACGGAAGCCGGTTGACTGACGACCGAAATCGTACGCCGCACAAACTTAGCGGAAGATGATAGGAATGTGCGTTTCTTCGAACGCCAATTAATCAAGTTCGCGATTCATGGTCAGCACAATTACTTGCCCCAAAGCTCAAAGCAAGATGTTTCCAAAAGATCACAACCAACTAATGCCCAAGATTTAACTTGTTACAGACAGGGAACATGTCTATTAACAGACTAATGCTGACCTGAAATTAGCACCCACAATCAATCCAGCTATGGCTACAGTAATTTGTTTTAATGCAATCTGATCCGCGTCGTTGATCTCAATAGGCTCAAACTTTCCGCGTACTCGTCTACATGTTCTCTTTCACTTGGGGTTGCTCTGCTCTAGCTGTTCGACGCAACAGCTAGGGATCACCGCCTCACTTAATAGCGCATCCCAAGTAATGGGGTCAGTAGTTGAGGAATATCACTAACCCGTTGTCTCCAGCACATTCGTGAAAATTGACTACATGTCCTGCTCAACGCATCATGTGGCCATCTCAGTAATAGTAGTAACGATAAACGCCATACTTTTGGACAAAGCGAGACATGATTATCTGGTCTCAATAGATTGTGCAGATTTCACTGGGTGGTGTGACTGCAAACGGTTTGTTTTACACTGCTTTGCAAGATTAATTTTATTTGTTGCTAAACATCCATCAAGCGCTCCATCGAGTATTGACAGTAAGCGTCCCAACGAAACTTGGCAGCGCTTTTCAATCCAGAATGTCACTGTGGGTGGATTATGCGTATGAGATCACAGTGAAAAATGTGAATCAGAACTAGCGGAAAGTTGCAACTGGTACTAACTGAGTTCCATCATGTGAGAAAACGGTATCCGGAGCCAATCAGTTGGAAATTACACGGTACCTTTGACGGAAGACGTTTTCTATGGCATGGTATGTAGCCAATTGGGGCACTACAGAATATACAGGATGCATGGTTACTAAAATTGTGAACATTAGTATACTGAGCTGACAGCATTTGACTTCGTGCATGCTTAGTATTCGGCTTTGGTTAATTCGAAGAAGTGCTGAAGAGATATCGAAGAGCGTCTGGGTTTCCAGCGTACTAGTGCATTTGTGGTTCCACTAAAAGCGATCGGATTTCAGGTCTTGCAAAGTTGTAGTGAACTGTCGAGTGCTCAGACTTGGTTGTCCAACATACTAATGCGCCTACCGTTCCATTAGCAATTGCTGGGTTCAATTCCCGTAAAGTTGAAATGTTGTTGTCTAAGGTGAGTTGAGGAGGGGAAAACTTTGATGCTCGACCAACAAATTTATTGGGGGTTCGGTTGGCACATTATGAGCATTGGTGGCAGGTTAACCGGAGGTAGAGTATTATGAGTTGAAATGAACTGAGAGAGATAAAATGGAACTTAGACATCCAACTCACCGATGTACCAGTGGTCTCACTAGCCAACGACAAGCCTTCGTGTCAGGTAACATTGTCTGCTTGAAAAACGCTAGTTGATTTTTCTATGTAATTAACTGGTTCCTCTGTAGCCCTTGGTCATCTACTACTGAGTTATGGGACAGCCCACCATTACAATTACACTACCGATTGTTAAATATTTGTCAAGCTTTCATTAAACTCGTGTTCCAATATGTTGCTACTCATCTCAGTGCCAGCCGTCTTTGCATGCGACAGCCCGTTAGTTTTAGTCGATACTTTGCGCCCCATCACACATTACACAGGTGGTTCAGCCAGACTCGTTTGGGGCCTCGTACTACAACCCACTACCTGCATTGTGCTTGCCGGCGGTTGCGCAGCTCGTGTCCACTGTGCTGATCTCTTGCATACATGAACAGCTCTTAGAGAGTTTTGCATAGGAACATCGACTTCTGTCTGCTCCCCAGCGTGCGTAACCAACAACTGTTTTCGCCACTAGACTGCTATAACTCACATGTGTGCCTTTGCCTTTTTTGACACCTTCTCAACGCAAACAACTATTACTGATCCTAGGTACGAACTCAAGCTTAAACTCACTTCTTCCGCTTGTGACCTGTATGCATCAGATACAACGCTCGTGAGTTTATCCCTAGTCCATTACCTCGCACACTGAGGCCACACGTTACCATGTATGTTCATCAGATGTCCACTTGAACGTTGTTGGTTATGCACTCATCGAACCGTGCGGTTATTCGTGCGTGCCTTTTGTGGTTGCATCATTTATATCCCACGGATTTTACTGTATTCTTGAGATATCTGATCAAAAATAATAGTATGCTTTCTAACCTGTTACTTCATGGCCTCAAAACCTATCTGAACAGTAGCACTCCTTTCGACTTTCTCAGTGTCGAGTTCACCTGTCAAAGTGCTGGAAGAGGTCTGAGAAAATGTTTACTGTTCAGTAGCTAACTGGCTGTCGCGAGCAGTTGCTTAAGCATGTTCTAGTGGCATCCTCAGCATGAGTATCTCGCTTAAGCGCCATTGAGATCGTCATCTTACCTATCTTCTCAGGTGTTAGCATACCCCATTCATACTTGTCTTGTTGACTCTTCGCGTGACCACTGTTCCGTTATTATTATAGAGTGACCGAAGCCTACTTGTTTTGGGCGTTTTTAGCTAGCTTTTCATTTCATTGCTAATCAGATGTTTTGGCTTTTTGTCTGAACTTTCCTCTTTGCAAAGTACTTGTTTGTGGTCGAATAAGCTTTTGTTCAGCACTATTTCTGATGTTTTTATTTTTCTCATCCAGTGAGGAGCCTCCTCTCCATGGCAGCCGCTGTTCACTCAACGATGACAGTGCCGAAATCGGTAGCGATGCTGATGGCGAGCTTGATGACTATAACCTGGATCCGGGTGAGTTCTGCGCCGTCCGCTTTTATTTGCGTTACACCGACCCGGCATGACGAAGCGTTAACCATCTAACATTTCTCTTATTTTTCCACCTTAGCCAACTCTTGTTGTTTTCCGATCTTCGTTGCTCAACCTTTTGTACTCCACGTTGTTATTAGTATCTTAGCCGTCGCCCATGTCTCATTTATCAAAATCACTGGTTACAAATTGCACAGCCTTACGTTCAGGTTTTGGGGACCTCAGTGGAATTACACTACGTATGCTCAGTCATAGGAAAAACAACTTCCCATCGCTTTTCTGGGTTTGTGGCGCTATATGACTGAATTCAGCTTGATTCTATGGATATAACTTATTTTCTTGCATTATCCACTCGAGTTTTTATTTGAGTTGTCAATCTCTAGTGAGAGCCCAGTCATTGACAGCTCGACCTATGCTCTTCTCGCCCAGCCGTACATTGTCGCGCTAGTTTTGCCACTTCGCTCTTGATTGCTTTAGCCGATATCCTTTGACACATCCATCTTTATCAGCCCCAACCTCGGTAATCATTTTCTTGAGCCCACTTTCATATAGTCTTGCGTTGTTTGCCTTCATAATGTCCACACTCTTTTTGGGTACTACTTAATATCAGCAATGAAACCCATGCTTCCTACCCTGACATGCTAGTTATCGTGCATCTGGCCATTTTTCCGAGCGCACTGCATATATATATATATATATATATATATATATATATATATATATATATATATATATCCCCATGCTGAGGCTGATGTTGCACTCTTGATGCTTCCTCACCGCAGTTAAACTAAACCAACCTACACTTAAACTAGGTCTCTTTTTAAGCTGGATACATTTCATTCCACTTTATTTGCTTTGTTCTGCCTACCTGAATAGTCTTCCATTAACTGGCCACGTCGCTTACGCTAATTGCGTTTATCTTCGGTAACTTTGTTGCGTTTGTAGCATTTTTAAGTAACTTGTGGACATATTTTATTTATCGCAGATTCGCTGCTGACCAACTTACTTCATATGCTAATTTAGCGAAGAATTATACCACCGTATCTGTATGCATTATTCGATTTATTTTATTTCATCTTATCGTTTCAAGTGAATGGCTGTTGCTTGATATCCCGGGTGTAGCTGCGTTTGATGTGCATTTTGATAAGGTGCCTACCTGTCTATTACCCACCACCTCGTCCATACTGGCTCCAGGATACAGTTGGTTTTTGCTGGAGGGGAAAGGGTGTACGACCCTTGTGTACGTGTTAGGTTCGAAGAGCGGTTCCATGTACTCAGTGTGGAGCGGACTACGGTCCAGCCACCACGTTGTGTGCGCTTGATTCCTAAATACAGTGTGCTTGTGTTTGCCTGTGAAGGAGTGTGGGCCGACTCCATTGATGAAACGTCGCTCCCATCCACATGCCCCCCGGTCTTATTCCTTCGGGTTTACACTGGATATGGGGTGTGTGGATGGAGCTGTGAGTGATGCAGCGCAAGCCACCCATGGTCCCTCTGTAGGCGCAGGCGTCCTGTGGCTGGCCACAGTGACATGCAAATTCGAAACCGCACGCCGCCGACCATATATATATATATATATATATATATATATATATATATATATAAATGGTTGGCATCATCCAATTCTGGATTAACCTGCCCCTGCTACCTCCAGACAGATAATCACATTCATCGAGACTCACCATTGCGCAGTGAATTTTCGTGATGCGTCTGATTGTTTTGTTTTCAGCGCGGATATCGGCCACCCATGAAATTAATTTCTATTGGTTCCTCTCTTCTATCAGCATGCTATTTATTGGTTTGGATTTTGATACAGGAGCGTTAGTGTACACAGAACACTCCTATTTGTGCTTATGCTTATCAGCCTAGGTTCTGTTGAGTTTGGCGAATTGTTGAGCATCGCTGGCAATAACTATCCTTGGGGCAACATGTTCTTTTCGTCCAGGACTGCAAGCGGGGGTACAAGTGTATTTTCCAACCTTTTTTAGGAGTCAACCGATAAGTATGACATCCGTTATTTTTTACTGTTGACTGGCTTTAGCTTTGGGTCTGTCATATAGCCACTGAATTATTGTACTCGGCCCCTTGAAACAAAGTGTACGCAATCGCGTTGTAAGCGGCTTGTCTGCTTAGAGGAGGGAAATGTGTTGCGACGAATGGGGGCTGCATCGCTGTTTGGCTGCGTCGTCTGACTCTGATTTTTGGCCTGAATTGCGATTTGTAGTGACTGGTTGCTACAAGAACGCAGCTTCGTTTGCTTTTGGTGATGTGAACCTAGCATTCGTCAGTTTCTCAATTACTTCCATCATTATTCCACACTTCTCACCTGCGCAATTAATCTCCAATCTGGATAGCGTGGCATACCTGACATTCGTATTGTTACGCTGCCTCACTTCAAGTGAAGCTAGGCCTACACATTTAGATTGAAATTTTTTGGAGCAGTAAAAGCACTTTAGACCCGTCTGAACGACTTTAACGCATATGTCGCATTTACTTTTGGGGCAGGTCGTGTTCACGGATGATACACTCTAATGGTCTCTCACCGGCCTTAAGGTCATTCAACCGTCCAAGGTTCCTAGGTTCACGTCGATGGTGAGCGTCATGTGTGTGCGCACTCGCTCGGTTGCTATCACTTGTATGACAAGTACCTGCACTAGGTTCATCGGCTGACCGATCGATGTTAGGTTTGTCCGAGCAGGAGCCTATAACTGAAGCAGAATGCAAACGATGTCCATAAATTCTTCCGCAGCTTGCGTTAGGAACACCGTATTTGTGTTGCCCTGGGATCGTTGGAGAGACTTGAGCTTACTAAATCCAGAGCTGTTACACAAATGATGGATTAGATCAAGGGCGATAAGGTCGTGTTCGTGGGTCAAGTCACGCAACCATAGATAGACTGAGGTCGTGTCAGCGCTAGATGTCGGATATTAGTACTGGTATCCGCGCATTTAAAGTTTGCTAATTGATTTTGTTGTTAGACCCCCAGTGCTAGGACAGTTTCCGTGATAAACGAACATGTCGACTATTTTCAAAGATTAATACGAGGGGGCGAGAGTATTACTGACCAGTGTTGCAAGCGTACCATGCTTTTCAACGGGGTGGGTTTCATTTTGAACTGGAAGATGCACTCCTAGCCTATGCAGCCTATTTTTGGCGGTCTCTATCCAATCACAGATTATGTGATTTCAAAAGCGCAATACAAATCACAAGTTCTCCATCGGAAAGAGTTCAGCGCCACCAGTTTCTCACGTTTTGATAGCCCTCTTTAAGATGTCATCCGTGACGAGGTTCAATTAGAAGTGTGTTATTGGGCAACGCAGTATCTTACGACCGTGGTTTTACTCAATGGAAACGAAAGGTCAACGCACACACACACACACACACTGCCCGAGGTTTGAGAATAAATGGCTTTTGGGGTGGTAACACACTTCCCGTGTACTCCTTTTCTCAACCGACAACTCCAAGGACTTGTTCTCCCATCTGAGTTAAATCCGGTTCGTATGTGTAAGAATGCAACGATTGCTTGGCGACTAAAGTATTTGGTATACCGTGAAGGTGTGATCACAGTAGCTCCGGTCTGATCTGAACTCAGCTTGTTCTTTTCGTATGTGCCGTGCATGTACATGACCGATCCTCCTTGGTAAATGCAGAGCAGGTAGCACTTTGGGTACAACGCAGGTGAGACTATTTTCTCACGGGTTAGTTAATTCCGTTCTGCTATTCCAGTCTCACTGAATTGCTTCTGTTTTCCAAATCTCTTAGAGTATATTTAGTTAACTCACAATCGGGTGACGAGACTGCAATCGGAAATGGCCAAATTGGTTTGTCTGGACTAGGAGCTTTGTCATACCTCAGAATGCTCACGTGAAACCTCAGTCTGATTGTGGTGGACCGTCTACACTTCATTAAGCACTGAGTTCCTGCAGCTGAACTCATCGGTGCTACTTGCCAGTCCACTTGCTGCTGGAGCTGTTTGGCCTAACCTAAAATTGGACATCGATAGCAGTGTATTAACCCACCGTCCTTTTTTCCGCCCGTGGATCTGATCAGAAGCTAGTCGAGCTTGTTCCATCTTTATGTCACATTGCATCTGGCATACATCGCCATCCTCCCGGAGGAGTTAATTCATTTCATCGTTTTTATCTCTACGCCGAAGTGTTCAACGCCAGAATGTATCTTTCAATGAACTTCAAAAACTGGAGAGATCCTGTGGTTGGCAGCCAAACTAGTGAAGCTGCATACTAGAGTCCAGGAGTTGTGCATGGAGTGCGAATGCATTCTCAATGTGCTGAAAATACGCCATTTTTTGTATAAACGTTGTTTTGGCTTCAGGTAACTTATTTGAGACTAACTGATCTCAACAAACACGGATGGCGTTTGAACGGACAGATGAGCAACGTCAGGCGGTTTGCGGCGACGTTATTGCCGCCACTAAAATGGAGGGCGCGGTCAGCACACACGAGCACATGGTCCCAAGGGAGGAAGACACTCTATCTTGATTTACAGTTTAGGTAGGCGACCACTTATGTCTGCCTTTTGAGTCTCCTAACTGTGAGTCTAGACTGCACGCTATGCTTGCACATACCCCTATAATGAACATACAGCGACTAATGGCCACGAGAACTTTAACATGGATCCTGTTGAATAACATTACCCTGCATGTGCGCTGAAAGCAATCGCCACGTCGGCATCGCCAGGGCTTCGGCCGCCGCTGCTCAGGATGACTACAATGTGGGGATGCCAACAGAACAGTGCAAGCAATCTTAGCGTCGCAGTAAGTCCTCCGATTTATCAGATTGTGCAAGAACATAACTCCTTCTGATTACGATTTCCCATGCAAGCGCTTCTGGGTAGAATACTGCGGACAATAGCACAATTCTGTATTTCCTTCGCACGTTCAAAGTGCACTTCTTTTGCATGATTGGACCGACACACTGACGCGCCATCACCGACCATCCAATCAGTGTTCCACCGGTTCATTCACT